GAAAATTTTTCGGTCGCTACCCGGATTCGAACCCGAGACCTTTTAAATGAGAGGCCAACACCTTAACCTCTAGGCCACGAGAGCCCTCCTCCCTTACCTTTAAAGAAATCTTTGCAGGTTTCTATTCAACTCTCTTAATGTTAGTTTTGTTCCTCTCTCTCCTCTCTCTTCATCTCTGTCTGTGTCTGTCAAGTTTGTCTTTTTATCTCTCGATCTCGTTTTTGCTCTCTTTTCTCACTTCCCTCCCTCGGTCAAATTCATATTTTTTAGAACTTGCATCATGCTGCTTTAAGATTTAGTTATATATTTTAGGTTGTAATCTGGAAATTTTGGTAAGCATCTCATACTTTCTGCAGTTCGTACACATGAAAATGTAAACTTGTGCTAATTTTTTTTCTTTTACTTATTTTCAGACTTTTTTGGAGCAGACAAAAACAAAGTCCAACAAGAACTATCAAGGCATGAACCTTGCAAAAATAACGTCTACCGTTGGCTTGAACAGTAAGTAAAAGTCATTTCGAAATAGCTTTTCAATCTACTTACGCTTTATTCTTTTCAGTGGAAAAGAGTGTAAGGGGGAGAGGGAACTATGATTTTGAATTGCAAAATTTAAATGTTTGAGAAGTAGCATTTGTGTATGATTGGTTGTCCATTTTTAGGGGAGAGGTTGAAAGAGAGGTGATGTAAGACGTGTGGGCAACTAGAGGAAGGCGGACAGAAGATAGTTGTCAATATAATGGATATGTGTGTGTGTGGTTGGCTCCCTATGTGAAAGCATGGACTGGATTGTGTGAGAGAGAAAGAGAGTGGGGAAGGTGAGATATTTACAACACAGAGACATACACAAACATACACACATACGCGCACACAACATACTCACACACACACACATACGTATATTTATGTAAGTGTACAATAGCTTGTGTTGTTTGTGTGTTTCAAATTTTTCATCAGTGGAGAGACTACTTTTTTTTAGAGATGATGCTGATACTCTTAATCTACAGTGGAAACCATATATAACAGGCTCGGTAATAACAGAGGGATCTGGTAATAACAGGGATTTTTAAATCCCAGTTTTTTCCTACTCTTTGTCTCAATTAAAAGTTATCAGCAATAACAGGGCCTCATCGGAGCCCAATCGGTTATAGCAGGGACAAAGGCTCGTTAACAATGTGTATAAAGTAAGAGTTTGAGAGAGAGAATAACGCAGTGATGGAGCAAGCCCGCGCAAGCCACGCCACTGCTAGCACACACAGCGGGTGAAACGAGAGAGGGCTGCGGTGTGCTGCAGACTTCAATCTAGCCCTAAGCCAAGCTACACACGCGCGTAATGTGTCATGCGCAGGCCTGCCACATGGCCAAAACCCTTGGTCGTGGGTATTTGTAGCAAGGGAAATTGCCCATGAATAAATACAGCTGTATTAGTCCACAAATGCTTATTTCCCTTGCATATCTGATGTAACAGGATTTTTTCTCTGGTCCCACAATCCCTGTTATATCATGTTTCCACTGTATTGATTTATTCAGTAGAGTAGCAATAATTTTCTTTGGATTGTCTTTCAGTCGGAAAGATTGATGTTGGGACGTCGAGACTCAACTTCTGGGATCTGGGAGGTCAGGAAGAGCTGCAGTCCCTCTGGGATAAGGTTTGTTTTGTGTGCTTTAAAGGATTCTGTACTAGTTGTTTCATTTAAGCAAATTGGCAAGGATGCAGCACAAACCTCTCAAGATGCTCTTAATTTCTGTCTTGAGTTTTGAGAGTGCTTGTTTATAGTAGTAGCAGCAGATATCTGTCACTGAAATTCCAGTTTCTGATGTCAAGAGGTTTTTTTTAAAGCTTAATCCTGTCTTCCATTTGACATAAAAGGAGTGTCTTCCATCTCAGATTCTTAACTCTTTAAACCCTGAGTTTTTTCCACCATTTCCCGGAGTTTTTTCTACAGTCACCTAAACCTGGTGTACTATGTATCGTTATAACCTCAAAAGATTACCTCCAACTTCAAAATAACGAAAACAAAGGCAAAGTCATTACTAAAAAACTTGAATCGGGAATAGTTCCGAAAAAGAAGAAACTAGCACTAAATGAAAGGCAACAGTTGTCACTAGTGTCGGATACCACCAGCATTCGATGGTAAACAGGGTAATTACCGCCGGAGGCTGAGCGTCCGATGGGGTGTAAAGAGTTAAATCATATTATTGTCTGATGATGGTTTTTATATTTTGTCATACTGCATCTTTGTTGGTGATAACAAAGTGATACATTCAATAGGTGGCAGGAAAGCAGGTAATGCAGGGTGAGTGATCGTGAAAATTATTGATCCTTTCGTTGTACTCATTGCAAACAGTATTTTATTGCACACTTTTAAGGGAAACTTCATTGCAGGGTTTGAAGCTACTAACAGCATCATCACTTAATACAGATCATTGACCATAGGAGCATACATCCTGCCTTCTGTATCAACAAAACAGTGCCAACTGCTACCTTTATAAGAATACTCTCTGAGTCTTTTCCTGAATAACGTTTGCAATCTCTATATTTTCAGTATTATGTGGAGTCACATGCTGTGATTTTTATAGTCGACTCCTCCGACAGAGACAGAATAGAAGAATCAAGAGATGCTTTTGGTAAGTATGACTGTATATTTGTCTATTTAGCTATTAATATCAGCCTGTCTTTTCAAAGGAGCAGAAACAGAGACAAAAATAAAGAATGACATTCTGTCCTTGTAGTGAGTTTTTCTTATCTTTGAGCACCCCGTATTTGCTGTGTGGGTAAAACCCTTTGCAACCACCAATAACATTGACAAAATGCTGAAGAACAGACAAAATAGCTGTACTTGTAGGATGAGCCATTAGTCAACATAAAAGACTATAAGGGTAGAACCATATTAACGCCCGACACCGACAGTCAGACCAGACCCGCCGTTTTCCATCGGGTGCGGAGTTCGGCGGTCAGACACCGCCGTCTTGCAAATATTTTGTGTGGTAGAAGAAGAAAATTGTTGTTGTTGCTTTTGAGACGCAGACAAAAAAGGAAAACCAAGACAAGAAGAGTTTCAGTGCATCCCATCAAAAGAAAGTGTGATACACTATGTGAATTTCATCATTTGTTTCCGCAGTTGTTGGAAGATAGTGAAAAATTCCAACAATACTATCGCATGAAACAGCAGTTTCAATGAACTGTTAGAGATGCAGAGCTGACCAAGAACTGCTAGAATTCTGTGTAGTGTCTTTGAGGCCTGGAAAGGAGACACAACTATGCAGAGATAAATCATTAAAATTACCTCCCATCTCACCCGACAGACCATCTTCGATAGAACATGTTTTATCGGAGGCGGTCTGACCTGGGATGAGGCAGGACGTCGGGCGTCAGTATGGTAGCCGAAACCGTTTTTTGTTACCTTCCATTACTAAAGAGCCGGTGCGCATTCTTTTGTACCCGAAGACGGTCTGGTCTGACCATCCGTGTCGGGCGTTAATATGGTTGGGGCCTGAATGTTATTTCCCCTTACTATAAAGAGTGTTCCTCTGTGAACTTGGGCACCATTGTACAATTCTTCATGATGGAGATTCTTATCCTTGTACAAAGGGAACGTCTCTGGGTTTAAATAATATTATCTTTTATGAATACATCGATGTTCTGGGCTCTGATTTTGGGGGGTCAATATGGATGCATTTGAGTCAATAAATGCAAGGTATTCATATTTTCCAGAAAGGTAGGCCTACTGCTAATTTTGCTTTTGGTTTTGTTTTGCAGAGAAAATGGTCATGAACGATAATCTGGCTGGTGTACCTCTTATGCTGCTGGCAAATAAACAAGATCTTGACGTAAGACTTATGTTCTCTATTTGAGTCAAGGCATCTGACGATATCAGTCACTGACATATTTCCATTTATTTATTTCTTGTGTGTTCTCATTTGAATTTATAAGTGTAAGTGTATCTCAGAGGCTGTGTTTGGTTTATTGGGTCTTTTTTGGGGCCTGCTCTTACTCGTTCTGTTCAGTGTTATTATTATCTCATCTGTGCCAGACAAAATGTTTGGGCTCTCATGGCCTAGAGGTTAAGGTGTTCGCCTTTCATTCAATAGGTCCCGGGTTCGAACCCGGAAAGCGACGGAGAATTTTCTTCTCTAAAACTTTCTCCTTTCATATCCCTTCCTGCTCTCTAACAATGTCGTCTGCTTTCGTCTCCACTTTCTGCCCCCTGCTCTGGGCTTCTGACTCTTTTTGTAGCCTTTCTACTGTTTCTCCTTGGCTCCTTTCAGCCATACCCCTGAACTTATGGTAGGTAAGATCTACACCTAGCCTTCTCTGACAAGGGTGAAAAATCTTGGAGGTCCCGTCTGCAAGTTGTGCTCGTTAAAGATCCGCTGATCCCTTGGTAGTCCAAAATGGATAAAAGTAGGCTTCGGCCGCCACCCGGGCAAAATTCAAAATTTCCCATTAACTGAAAATGTTTGGTGTGTCCTGCGCGCTCATATGACCTTATGCAGTTGTGAGCGCCATAAAGCACTTACCCTTCCCCCCCCATAAAAAAAAATGAGGCTGTCATTAGGCTGTGTCATTAAGTCAGTTGATATCATGCTGGGTCATGATGTGGATGATCCTGCTTCAAATATGCAATTTGATGGTCTTGGAGTTAGATCATTTGAGGAATTTTCAAGACTCTCTGTCTACCTAGTTTGGTCCTATCAGAGATGAGCGTTGAATTCGGAGGTCTTGTCTTTTAAATAACCTTACTGTGTCGTGTAAGGGATGTATAGTTTTCTTGGCTGTTCTTGTGCTGACACGTCATTAAATATACAACTTAACTGCTGTACTCAGCACCCTCCTGGCAATTATTCATGATCATGGTTCTGTGTTGAGTTCCTCTCTTTGCTGCTGCTGGTCAAGTGGGAGTTGGGTTTTGTAGGTTTTTTTTGGGGGGAGTGGGTTTGGTTCTTCTCCGTAATGTTAACATGTGCAGTATCTCTCTGTTCTCTCTGTTCCCCTCTCCTATACTACCTGTCTGCACTGCCAGCTTTCCTTTTGGCGCGAGGTATTCTTTAAAAAATGTTCTCATAGAAGGACTTGTTTGTTCTTTTTGTTGTAATCAACATTCATAGGTTATAATTGTAAAGGCTTAAGTACGCTGTTCTTACAAATGAATGAAATTTTGTCGCTGCCCATTTTTGTCTTTTGAATCATTTGATGTTTTATCACTATTTTAACTTCCCCCCCCCCCCCCCCCCTTTAGTAACATGCCCTAAGTTCAGGGTCAGTGGAATAAGTGTATGGACCTTTGCCTCTCTCACTTTTATTTTTTAATATCTTATTTTGTACCTGGTTTCCTTCTCTATGTATGTAATTTACATGGTTAGAAAATGGGCAACTAGTTTATTATATGGGGTTTTTTTGTTAAGTTTTTTTTACAGCATTATACAGTCAGGCACAGATAACACTATGAGTACTGACAAGTGTGTTTGATACATCCATAATTTGGGTAAACGGTATAGCAAAACAGGAAAGAGATATCAGTCAGGGAATGGCAGATTGTGTGAGCTGTCTGTGATTTGATGTTTTCCTTGTTCTTGTTACCTGTGCCCGATTGTACATTGAAAAGAAGCAAAGAAAATAATGCTGTGATTTGTTGTATTCCAGGGCTGTTTGAAAGTGACTGAAGTGAAGACGATATTCAACTCTCCCTTGCAGTGTATGGGTCAGAGGGAGTCATGGGTACAGGCAGTCTCAGCACTCAGAGGGTGAGTTTGGCTTGAAATTAAACGAAGTATCGGAGGAAAAAGCTTTTTTTAATTGTTTGTGTAGGGCACTATGTTTTAGGATGGTATTTTCAAAGGTTAAATTTCCATACAAACAGGTGTTAGGCTTGTACTTCCTAAGCTCTTTCCGTATAATTTTTATTGTCACATGTCCATTATGTACTGTCAAAGTTGTGCAAGACGGTCACCCTTTGTCGAGGAGAAAAATGGTTATCTATTAGAGATGGATGTCATGGACAGTGTCATTGTAATGCAGAAAAAAACAACCCAGAACTTCCCCCAATGTGTCTGTTGTATGACTACATATATGAGACTGTGTCTCATCACCAGTTCCACTGCACAACCCTAAATGATATCAGAGCTACACTTCCCCCTCCGAGACCTAACATTAGGGCTGGACTCTGCTCGGTTAATCGAAGGCTTGCAAAGCAGCGGACGGCTTGCACTAGAGGCTTGCGAGCAGGCTTGTGATTTGCTTTGCCTCCTGCTTGCTACCGGGGGGAACTTCCAGTGAGTTGTGACTCGCGGACAGTCCTGCTGTACTGTGTCGTGACGCCGCGAACCTTCGTAGCTGTGTGTGGGCTCAGTACATATTACAGAAGATTCTCTGGTTATTTGCTTTGAGAGGCTTGCACCAAAAGTGCAAGATCGTTTTTTTTTTCATAGTTCAGTTGTAAAAAAAAAAAGCTCTATTCAATGTACTGGAAAATTAATATTGGATCGGCTATTCTTACGATGTTAAGGCCTGTTTATTTTTAATGTGCACGAGCCAAGCACTTCAGCGTCGCACGCAAAAGACCTTAGTGCGATTCCCGTATGGGGAGAAATTTTTACTGAGAACCTCCGTCTTTCTGCTGGGGCGTTGTTCCCTCTCAGCCCAGGTTGGTCCTGATATTGGGTTGAAGTAGGCCTAGCCTGTCTCCTAAATGTTCTGTATTATGTCACTGTGAGTGTAACACATCTACAAAATAGGTTACATACATACGATACAAAAGCCAATCACAACGACCCCTGGAGTTTTCCATTCTAGGGTAATCTAAGTCTACGTATTCTTATTACTACCAGAAACCTAGGTCTCTGTTACTACAATACCACGCTCCCTCTCACTTATCCATTCGCTTAGCTGATCAACGGCGGGAAGTTAAAAATAACTTCAGCTCTCTACGTCTTGCACCAAAACAAGCCCAGCCTCTCCCTTCCTCCACGGTTCAAAGTTCACACAGTGATCAGTACTGCTGTTTGAACACTTCGAGCGGTCCTGCCGCCATCGAGCGGTCCTGCGGCCTGTGCCGCTCGCTGTGAGACAGCACAAGTCAGTAGGTCAGGTTTCGAGCTTGTCCTGGAACAATTCACTAGGCCTAGGGCAAAGCAGTACTGTGTGAATCGTGGGACTTGTGGCTGTGGATGGGATTTGAGACTTGAGGGCAGTCCGCTGCTTTGCACAGCCTTCGATTAATCGAGCAGACTACAGCGCCACGCCACACAGTGACACTATGGGCAGGATCTCTCACTATCCTCCTCTCTCTTTTTCTGACGTAAGTGGCTTTGCGGATTGCAAGCAGGGTGGGGATGATGAGGGGGTCTGACACGAGTGGCTTTGCGGATTGTTAGTTGCTTTGGACGAAGTTTAGACTAGACCAAGGAGGTTACAGTTTGCGCTAGACTTAACTTATCATGCTGGTGATTTGATTTGATGATTTGACCTAGTGATTTGAGGCTTGTGACTTGAACTAGGGGCTTGCGAACACGAGCGGGTTTGCTACCGGGGTACAGCCCTACCTAACATTGACAACAAAGTCTGTGGAAGATTACAGCAAGTGCAGCAAACCTGCACTTTTTATTACATGGCACTGGACAGAAGGACAAAAGCCCAGCTGTTGCTAGATCAATAACAAAAACAAGTAGAAAAAAATATAGGGGGTACTTGTTTTGCTAATTTTCTTGGACAGGTGGCAGTTAGAGCAGGTTTGACTGTAATTTCATCCACCAGCCTCCCAAGTTTCAGTGTGGCTTTTTTGTTGTTAGTTTCAATCTGCTTATAGTCTATAATCTTGTTCCTAATGCTATTATGATGAGAACACAAAAAGAAACTAATTTTTAAAACTTTCATCCAAAGATGAAAACAAAATTTTCTCAGGTGTAAATAAACCATACTGTGGCCTCAGTTCATCTTTTATTTTAAGATAGGAATAGATAGTTCACCCTCTTTTTTCGATAGGTGGTTGACGCGGTAGGCCTTCTTTTCTTTCTCTGTGTGTTTCTGTCTACCAGTCTTACTTGTACTAATTGACCACTGTTGTGATGTGCATCACTCTATACAAACAAGCAAACTGTTTTTGTTTTTTTCAAGGGGTCACTTACAAACGTCTGCTTCTTTTCAGGGATGGTGTCCAGGAAGGCATCGACTGGCTCGTTGAAGCAATCAAAAGGAACAGCTCAGCACGCCCTCCACAGCAGAAGGAGATTACGTGACGAGAGCAGAGGTTTTTAGACATTCCGATGAGTCCTATTTATGCTGTTACCAAGGTGGAAGTTTATTGTAGTGAAGACTATGATATAGTATTCTTTTTGGAATGTTGCATGGCTTCAGAATGGCTGGAGAGGTCATCATGTGTTGAGAGTTAGAGCAATTTGAGGTAAATAAAACAGAGGTTTTTAGGTGTTTTGATGAATTTTAATAATGTTAATGCTGAGAGGGAAGTCTGTATTTGGAGAGGCTGTGACACTGTTCTTGGATTGCTGCTCAACTCTTAGCAACCTGAAGAGGTCATTGTTTTTAACTTGGTAGAGCAAGTTACATGTGGGGTATTGACTTTTTGAGGTTCAGGTGAGCGACTGGTATGAGTGATGAAGGAATTCGAGTCAATCTGAATTTTGTTGTCTTTTTTTGTATGTTTATGTATGAGAGATGAGTGCCTATCCTGGTTAAGTTAAATTATACACACAGTCAGACCTTGATGGACATGCCGACATCTTCAGGAGTGGGTCGAGATTTTTTTTAGTGTGAAATATTCTAAGGCAATGGAGTTTATGATTTGAGCTTTACTAGTATCTGTACCTCAAATGTAACTGTGTGGAGAAACTCTCAAGGAATGTTATGGGATGTCTCTTACAGGTTAACTCTCAGTCAACCGGACAGAATGCTCTTGGAGACATTCTGACTGTACATTCCAGTGCTGGTTTTCTGCTCTGCTGAAAATGCAATAAGGATGAGCTGTTTCTTGAGACCGAAAATCTTCAGGGTCTTATTGAAGAAAATATCAGGCTTGCCAATTGTCCAAAATTCTCTGGGACTGACCTGGATTTGTCAATCGGGAATTTGAGAGCTTTATCACATTCACTACATTCAAACCAGTCCCACTCGGTGTAGTTTTTTTTTCTCCATTGTTACGTAATATGATGGTTTAACATTAGATGTCCCTGATTGAGTTCTAAAAAACATTGGCAAGCCTGAAACATTAACAGATGCACAATTAGTCTAATACATACCTCTCTGATTTGTATGAAAGTTTGAACATGATAATGATAAAATTGAAGTGATTTTTCTTGAGAAATATAGATTTTTTGGATGAATTGGATTTGTTTTAAAACGTCAGTCAAGTTTAATGGAAATTTGGTAAATAAATTATAAGCAGCAAATAGCAAGGGTTGTCATGTTGTTTGCCATGTGTGAATGCTCTTTTACTTTTTTGCTGTTTGTCCATTTCTTGGGACCGGACAGTATCAAAAGTGGCACAAAGCCTGAACTCCAGCAAAATGTAAAGTCAGCTGTGTATTGTATCTGCTTTTTTTGCTCTTCAACAATGGAGGTTGAAGTGAAAGTTCTGTATCAAAACACATGGTCACATCAAGTTACTGTTTTTAATAATTGATAAATATTATTACAGTATTTGTTTATGGTCTCAGAGCAGTGATATTCTTACTGCCTTTTACTGACTTGCCTGTTTGTTCAAGAAAGAAAAAAATAAGATAGTCAAAATTTAGATAATTGAGGAGTAATCAAATTGCAGCATGTATTATTTCATGTGAGAATGCTTCCTTTCAGTAAATGCTTTGAAGACAATAGTGATAGGTTTTTAAAATTTACTTTCGCCTAATTATTTTTGTGTGTAGTATATATTTTTAACCTACCTAAATGAAATGACCATTATTGTGTCAGTATGCTTCTTTTCTCTTTTTTGCTTTGGACTTTGTTTATTACCGCTTCACATCATCTCACTGATACAGACCCACTGTTTTTCACCTCATAAAAGTTGCCACTGCAGTGTAAACCATATTGCTGCTCTGTAATGAGGACGCTTTCATGAAGCAGCGATTGTATGTTAGTCCAATAAAATCAAGGCTTGTGGCTTCAAGTTTGGGGGCAGGGGACACATGCATTTACCAAAATGCATGGTCAAAATGTAGGCAAATGAATTCTACAAAATATGCTGATGGTGAATCGAAAGTGTTATAAATTGATAGGGACTGGATATTCCAAGGCTTTCATTAGCTTGGTGTCAAATATCAGAGAAAGCAGAGCAGAGAAAAGCTGTAAAGTACTGTACCATCAGATCTTTTCTACACTCTCATTGTTTTGCAGGAAAAAGCCACCCTTTTGGATTTTAAGTCAAAGTTTTTAAGTTGGAATTACGGTGATGTCCACCTAACAGCAACCCCCTTAACGCTTTGTGCCCTAGCCCCCTGGGTGAACTTTTCCCCTTTGCCTGGGCTCCTGAGCCCAATTCAGAAAAAATAGGTATTGCACCATAGGAAGGCTGTCATAACAAAATAATTCCAAAAAAAGGAAAAAAACAGACACATATTATGATAAAGGGAAAACTGACCTGTATTTTAATGCCAATATTCTGACTTGGTATGCCTGTCTTTCCAGCAGGTTGATCCCTTTTTTATGCCGAGATGTCTGTTGTAATATCCATATTTCACGTTTGATTTGACAGCTTTCACAGGGCAGTCTTTTTATATTGAACAGATGGATTTTCTTTCCTAAACTTTTGGTGTTTGTAGGAACAGACTGCACACAGATGGTTTCCTGTATCATCCACTCCAATCTCAGGAAAGTGCAGGCCAACATTCTGGAGTCGAAGCAGCAGCTCCTGTCCTTCGATTTCCCGTGGTCTCTGTACTGCGGCGGTGCGGTACTCGCCAACCAAAGGAAGGCAGTATTCGTTCAAAAATTTCCGTGTACTTCTTTGCCTTCTCTGGATTCACATTTTGAAATAAAACATAGGCATTGTAGACTGCCCACTTGACAAATTTCATAAAATGTCTCCTGTGGCAACGATAATGTCGACGGGTTTTGTTCAGACAGGCCATCTGATCATTCTTATCCGCCCCTCCCAAGAACAAGTTGTAGCCTTTCACCTACTGTGGCATTACAACATTTTCCTGTGTCCCATCCTTATTTCTTCTCCGTACGTGTTGATACAGTGTTGGGTCATGGCAGGTGGAAAGAAAGTTGAATGGACGTCTGTTCATCCGCACCATTGCCACCAAGCTGTCCTGACAAGCAAACTCATAATCACCCCTCTTATTAATTTTTTTACGAACAAGGGTCTTTGGGTAGCATTTCCTGTTTTTCATTGCAGTCCCAACAGAACATGTATTCTGTTCTCTCAACAAATATTGGAACAAGTGGACAGAATTGTAATATCTATCCATTGTCAGAATATGTTTTTTGTTCTCACACTCTCCGGCAAGTAGCAATCTGTACACAATGTTTCCAACAACGCCTAGTCCTTCCACAGCCTGCTCCTCCCTTCCAGTTTAAATTTCGCTGCTCAGAATGTAGCCAGTGTCCCCCTCACACAAAATAAAGGATTTTATTCCAAATGTGATAGGTTTGTCTTTGATGTACTGCTTGATAGCCAAGCGGTTTCTTGTCGGTATCATTCCCTCATCTAAACTCAAAAACTGTTTAGGTTTGTAGTGGTGCTTGAATTTCTCCAAAAGTGTACTGAGTAAAGGCCTGACTTTATAGATTTTGTCATTTTTTGTTAAGCTCTGGGTCCCTTTCATCAACTATGTGCAAAAAAGTCCAGTGTGAGAAAACGATCCCTTGTCAACACTTTCCTGAAACCAGGGGTTTCCGATAAAAAGTTCACTCTGTCCGACTCCCAGTATTCTCGGTACAAGTTTTTCACCACAGCGATTTCTATCTGAAGTCTAAATGCGAGAAAAGTTTTCATTTCTGCTTCATTAGTGGGGTCACCTTTTTACGACTTAGAATAATTGGAATCTGGAAAGTCTTCGTTGGTTTGCTCTGCTCTGCAGTGAGTCATAGCAGTGAGGTTAGCCCTAAAAATATGTCCACATAGTCTTTTGGTTTGGAATCCTTCTTCACATTTGGTGGAATATTTTTAGGACCACAACCCCTATCATCAAATGTAGTGTCCACTTGCGTCCATTGTGCACTCCACCCATCAGGAATAGAGATGTTTGGAATAGATCTAGCATCCCCACCATCACGAATGCCGCACCCATTTGTTTCCGTGTTTTGAGGAGTTACAGAGGGTGAAGATGTAGATGAAGCACTGACACCAGAGATTGGTTCATCAATATCATCATCCGAAACATTTTCTAGGTCACTCTCTGGATAATCTATGTCATTTGTATCATCTAACTCACCAGTATCGAACAAAGAATTGATCACCTGTGTAATATTGGACAGCTGTGTGCGTTTGCGTTTGACCCCGGAAGGCCCGGGTTGAGGCTCGCTATCGTGGCTCCTTTTCCTATTGAACTTATCATCACAAAAGAGCAACAAAAACATGTTCAATGCCGGCTACAGGGGGCAGACATTTTGAATGAATGACTCTTCACTTATATCAACCCAAGGCTTGCGATTGGTCGAAAATTACTGCCTTTTTCCATCCCACAATTCATACTACCCTCTCTCTTCCCGCTTAACTGGGGACTTAGCAAGAAGGAAAATATGCGCGTCACCGGTTTATCAGGGAGGGACTCCATCTCAAGGGTTTAAGAAGCAACCCTTAGTTGCTGTTAAGTGGAAGTAACTACTTTCTCAAATTTTCAAAGGGGTCTGGGTTGATCTTCCATCCACCCACCCACCCCTTTCAGATACACACACACACACATGAGTCCTAGTTGCAGGATGTGGTGATTTTTTTTTTTTATGTTGAAAAGTGGCAAAACAGGCAGCATCAACTTGTAACTGAGGCAACGCTTGGTCACTGAGTGGAGATGTTGGGAACAGTGACCAAGACTTTCCTCCCAAACGGGAGACTTCAAGAAAAGTCACTCTTGGTGAGAGGGTGTGAACTGATCTCATGCACTCAGAGTAGTATGTTTTTGGGCTCAGGTAGGTATTGTGAGATTTAAAAAAAAGGAGGGGTGTACGCACACACAAATTATAGGCCATTCTCGTTGTTCACTTTAATTGTCAAGTAAAAAGTTTGTTAGATAATTGATAGCAACAGTGGTAGCTGGTGGAGAAAAACATTGCAGTTGAAGGGGGTTATTTATTTATATATATACAGGAAAATTCCATCACACGAGCGAAGGTTGCTGTTTGGTGGAAGTTGCTCTTATCTGAGTTGCTGTTAAGTGGACACCACTGTATTAATGTCCTGTGGAGTAATGAACATTTGTGGGTGGTTGGTGGGTGCTCTAGTGTGGTTTACTTCTTTCTTTCCTATCAAACATCTATCGTCCTTATCTCTCCTCCTTTTTTATGTTTGTTACTCTCTTGTAACACCTCTAATCTTCGGCACTTATATGACCTTATTGTGTTGCAGGTGCCGTGAAACACTTATTAAAAAAAGAATATATTTTTATCATCCTCAAGAGATTATTGCCTTAAAAAGTTTTATTATCCTTTATAATAATAATAGTAGTCAACACTTTGGTTACAACTATCATAATTTCCAGTTGTTACACAGTGCACTAAATAGGTTGTTTTCTTTTGTCCTGCAATAGAATGGTTGTCCTGTCTTCCTGTCTCTGTGAAGCTAGCTGAACATAGCATTATACACCTCAAAACTTCCTAATGTATCTCTTGGGCAATAGGAAGGGAGATATGTTTTTGTGCTAATACTCATTCCCTTATCTGTTTTTGACACCAGCTGTCAAGATGAGTCAAAATCTTGTGGCATCATTGAGTCACTTTGCTATTTTTTGTTTTGTTTATGCTGAATGGCTAAAACAGACTGAACATAGATATCAGTGTTTGTGTGTGTGTGTGTGTAAAATGAATTTTGTGGTTCCTGTACATTGTATCTGTTAGCCAATTTCTGTGTTTGAGATGTCAGGACTCAATTACCCAGACCTGAAAGTTTATTGAGATAATCATTCACGAAATGATGAAGCTTTGTGAAGGATGTCTTGTGCTCTTCTTTCTGTATACTATCAGAAAAAGGAAAGACTGTTCTGCTCTTTTCCTGATAGGATATTTTGTTATGAAATTAGGTTGCCTTTTGTACGTGGCAGGCTGAAGTGAAAGGATTTTTCTCAGCTGTTTTAAGATGGTAGCTAGTCGATGCTGTAATGTTTGACTGCCTTTTCTTCTTCTTTTGTTTTTATGATCAACGTAATTGATTTAGTATAACTTGCTCCTTTGCTCCTTTTTAATGTTACCAATGTTCTATTCTAATTCCCTGGGTAATGTCTGTCTGTCATACCAGCTTCCTGTTAACTTTGATTCAACTCAGCTTTTTTTGTGTGGTATTTATTTTTTTTTTGCTTGTTTTTTGGGGGGAGGGGGGGGATTAAAATTTGATTAGTGTATTAATAAATGTCTGACACTTTGCAGATCTTTACAGTACTTTACTGTATATGCTTTAACGTAAAAGGGATGAAGTGGGTTTATCTTGAGCTTGACCCAGGTTGACTTCAATTTGAAATCGTTTCCTTGATCGTATTTTCTCCTTGAAAAAGCAAAGCTAGTTTTTGTCAGTTGTTATAGAACAGTAGTGCGTTACTGAAATATTTTCCAACTTTTTTGCTTTTTTCGTCAACCTAGATATATACTTTCATTTGTTGCCAGTCTGCTCTAGCTTTCTATCTCATGTTCTCATGGACTCCGTAGATGAAGAAAGTGAAAAGTCGTCTGTTTTGACAATATTGACTTAAATCAGTGTGACCCCATCCGTTCACAAATTAAATGTGATTTGTCTGGTTCATGCTAAGAGTTCAGGAGTCCCAGAGATCATATGTGTTTGTAAGATGGGGTGATGGGAAGTGACATGAGTGTATCTATAACAAATGCTGTGATCTTCTTTTGCGTGTTGGATGTCGTGAAAACTGTCTCTACTTATGCGCTGACAATTTTTAAAATGTCAAGAGAAATGTCAGTTTTTCCTTATTCGTTGTTTGATGTTTATATTTATATTATATTAAGTTGTGCTTTTTCACTTTTTCAGCCTCCTCAGGTTTCAAAATAATTTCTGAGTATGTTTTTGTTCCCTTTGTTGTAGAAAATTAATATGGTAGTGGTAGATGACTGGGTACTTGCAGGTTTTTTTTACTTGGTTTCATGGACTTGTCATCAGATAACAACTGCTTGTTCATTTCATTGCAAAAATTGAGAGTTACTCCATTTGGCCTTGCTCTATACACGGAGGAAAGAAAAGTGATGGAGTTATTTTTCTCGCATAAAAGCATTAATATATCATACTGTCGGCAAGCTGTTCCAATGTATTGATCCCAAAATGCAAAAATTTTCAGGAAAGAGAAAAACACCATTTCATTCTTTTAATGATTCTACCTATTTTATGT